GCAGTTGAGTCCCGGGGTCGGCGGCAGGGGCGGCAGCCCTTAAATAATCTATACAATTTGTCCTCCAGAAGTTCTTGCAACCTCCCCATCCAGAACAAACACCTTCCAAACTTCACCCACTGCGCACGTCCGGTTCCGAGGAAACAGCCTGCACAGCGCTGCAAGCAAGTGGTCAACACCATGTTGGATCCCGATTCGTTCATTGTAGACTATAGTATTTGTTTGAAGCGGGGGATCCCTTTGACTAATCAGGATCCTGCCCTCCCGTGCTTTCCAAGTGGCGAAGGGCAATCCAAGGTCAGGGTTGATCATGGCGGCCACCACCTGATGACGTTGGCTGCCACGATACGGCGGACGTCACAAATTCCAAAGGCCTTTGACCGGAGATCCCGGTCGAAGCGTTTGACACGGTGAACGTGGCGGGACGGGGCGTTTTTTGGGGCCGGGACAGGGCCCAACAAAACACAGCAGTCACAGTGGAGGTTGTGCGGAGATCAAAACTGTGGGACCAGGGTCACGTTCCGAAAATGAAAAGAACACGCTTGCCTGTTCACTTTCAAACACACCCAAACACACTGTCAGTCATATATGCCGATCAATTGACCCCCAAGACCACCCCAATGTAAGCATCTATGGCAGCCCCATTAGTCGTGTTTGGGACAGTAATGTGGGATCGTCCGGTTTGTGTTTTTTTTGTTGGAGTGACACTTTCTCCAACTCCGGTGGAGATGTGTCAAGATGGTGCCGCCGAAGGCTGGAAAGAAGATCAAGTCCGAACGGTTCCTGCGGAAAAGAATTGCACCCCGCTCTGAACTCTTGGCTCAAATTCCAAAGACTGTTGCCATGTCACCAGCAAGAAAAGGAGAATTTGAACATGTACGTAATTGAAATTGGATTGGTCCCAAGCACGTGGAGCTCTCATACGGCAACCGTCCATGAATTCCAGGGTCTACAGACCACCAAACTCTTGCGTCACAAAGACCTCATGCGTCTCAACAAGTGCCCTGCTCAGGACGCCGGGCAGGGAGGCAGTGCTTCTGTTCGCTCATGCCCACAGCATCCAAAATGGTGAAGATCGGAGTGCCCTTGTACTTGATGCCTTCCAAACCTCAGTGGTGACCAGACAAAGTAGTCCCTATCCCAAACACTCCATGGGACTGCCATATTTGCCTACATTGGGGTGGTTTTGGGGGGTCAATGTATGCATATATTCCATGGGGTGTCTGGCTATAGTAGCTGGTTTATCCCACACAAGAAGTGAAGCATGGCTTATCGGCTTGTGAGCCACACCAGTCTGCACCCAACCTATAAGGGGTTCATCGGGCCATCGGGTCGTCTGCACAAATACAGTGTATACCTGCATCTTCCAAGGGTGTCCTTTTTCAGTCCCTAGCACAAAAGTAGACTTTTCACCAGAGCGGTGTTTTGCGTTTTTGTACATATAGTGGATTGAGATGGATTTGATTTGTTTTCTCAAACACAAGGCGAATTGATCTTGGCGCCAACTGACGGGTGTTGGCGTGATCGACATCTTTCAACCCATCTAATTTTGGTGTGTTCTGGTGTAGAAAATCCAATTGTTAGACTTTGAGATCCTTTGATGGTTCTTTGGGATGTCACTGTGTCACTGAAAAGGCTGGTTTGTCAGGGGATGGCCTCACTTGAAAAATCACACGTTAAACCAGGTGTTGACCGGTGTCCAAACAGCTCCACTGGCTCAACTGGCCTTCCATCTTCCCACGAGTCAAACGGTGCCATCGTCCCGGTGCGGAGCCAACTCAGCTCAAGCGGTCGATCTCCTGATGCAGTCGGACCCCCAGCGGTCAGTCTCGACGTCGACCCGCCATCGATTCGGCTTCGTCCACCTCCACCGAATGGAGATCGAGGTGGCACCCGTTGGCCCGTCCGAAGATGCCAAGGACATCGGCACCGAAGCGAGTTTCGCGCATGGCCGGCACGGAGACGGCTGGGGCGTCCCAGCTTTCTCTAAGGTACTGCGCCACGGCCAGCTGGTTCGCCACCTTTTGGAAGCGCTGTAAAACCCCACCCGTTCCGGGTTCCAACAGTAACATGTTCCGTTTTGACCTCCGTTTCAATTGGACTGGTGTGGTTTTAGAGGGTCTAAATTGGTCTATATAAGTACCTTCTGAGAAGGTATTTGGAGCTGGAGCCCTAGACCCAGGCTTGACTCATGCTGCGTGGGTCCATGATGATGGAACAGCACCTCTGATGAACAGCCCCGAGTTTATAGTTTCTCATAGTTTTTCCATTGTACAACATCTAATGTTCTTTGCCGCAAAGCAACCTTCCGAAATACCATGTTTATACCTTTGCTCTGCTCCTTCTGAGTATCGGAGTCCGCCTCATGTTCTTGATGCCCAAGGACCATAATTAGTAAGAAAGAACACACATCACATCCCCCAAACACTCCATAGGACTGGTCTATAAAGATATTCATCAGTTGTTTTTTTCTTGCAAATCATGGAAAACACCTTTGTTTGATGTGGTTGCGCTGCATCCCCTCCATCAGTGACCTCCCCATATCGCCCACCCAAACCCGGGCGCCGCGGCACCTGCGTCGCGTAGCCCTTCTTGCCAAGCCGGAGAAACTTGTAGAACTGCACGTAGACGCCCTGAGGGCTGCCACAACGCCCTGAGGGATGCCCTGATTCAACAAGGGATGCTAAATTTGGTCCACTTCGCACGTGGAATGACGACTGCGAGAACGCGACCTGAAAGGCACCCGTGAAAACGGTGTTGAATTGCAACTTGGAAGGACAAGATCGACCCTGGAGGGAACTCCTTCTTGAACTTCTGATGGTGTACGAATTACATGTCGTTAGGGACTAACCATGTCCATCTATTGCAGGACTTGTACGTGTTCCATCCACTGTGTTCAAGTAAATGAGCAGTATGTTCGACGTATGTTCCATCCATCGACTGCCAATGAAGTGGCCTCCCTACTTCTGGAGAAATTGGGAAGGGACAACTCCCTATATACACTCTGACTCACTAATTTAACATGGAAGTTAAACAATGATCCCCTTGGAAGACTACAGCGACTACTCTCTCGTTTAGTTCAAAAAAAGGAGTGAAACTCCATCGTCTGGCCTCTTTCGGACTCCCAGACCATCCCAGACCACGCAAGACTTTGTTAGGTTTTCTTCATGTCCAGTTTGCCTAGGTTACACACGCGATGCCGATCATGTGATTGAACACCCGCAGCATGTGCGGCTGCAAAGCCCATTACCTCCCCGGCGGGGGTGTCGCCAGAACCGCCGAAGGACGCCTGCGCAGGCCGAGAGAAGTTCAGCGTGTAGGAGTCAGCACCTCGGCGAACGAAGTCCGGGTGGATCTCCAAAGCCCCAATGGTCAGCAGCCGGGCGCCCCTCAAAATACCAAACAAATGGGCCGCCCAAACCCCAACACCTCACACCTCACACTCTCCGTTCGTCTCACGGACGGGACGGAGGAGACGTGGCGCTTCCTCCCAAGTAGGACACGCTGATGGCCACGTGCTCCGACAGTCCCTTCCGCTGGCGCCAGATCACCCAGCCTGACGGCGTTTCACAGGTCAGGAAGCTCGGAGTCCGCTTTAGCCCTATATATGATCATGAGTGCATATGGGTTGAGAAGGCAAATGAGCGAAACCATTCATGTTCCGGCAATTGGTTTAAGGGAACATCTACATGGAAAGCCATGGTTCTTGGGAGGAGAAGACCATAGATCTTCCCTTAACGCAACTTAAACGAGTCCATTGACCATTGCAAATGAAAAAAAACAACATCAATACTCATTTTTGGTTCACTCCAAAAGCCCACCTGAGATGGAGCAGATAGTTGATCGCCAGTGTGAGGTCCAAGCTTCTGCCCCAAAAAATGAATGTCATCAGGTCATCAGGTAGCTTCCACGTGTTTCGGAGTATTATGCATTCAACAGAATCCATACAGTTCTTACCAGGATTTACCAGGTGCTGCTCAGGCATGCTGTTTTCTTCCTGATCAAGTGCCAGCTTCCTCCTTTAAAGGTGTCAAGTGGACGGTTCAAGTGATGGCAGGTGTGTGAATCTCAAAAGCCGATCTTGTCAGGTGGAGACCCCTCTCCGTTGGCGCTGTTGGTGCTCGAACCCGACAGGTTCTCTCATCCACTAGCTGCTAGCTGGTGCTCTAGGGCCAAGGTCACAGCAGGGGCGGTACGCAGTCAACCACTTTTTATTGCTAGAATGTGATGAAAGGTGATGGGATACTTCCCACAAGATTCCCGAACTCAGGCGCTTTACACTCCCATTTCACTCCTAACTTGGCACAGAACCATTTATTTTCAAAAAAACACCACCACCACCACCACCACCACCGGCCCGGCCCTTGGTCTTCGGATGATCTTCGGATGGTTCTCCTGGTGTTTCAGGGCCAGTTCCGAAGGACCGAAGAAGCTCCCCGGTCCGGTGGTGCGGTGCGGGCTGTGCTCCGGCCGGTTCAGGCGTTTCGGGCTGACCCAGAGAGGGTCCAGATGGAGAACCCAGACACGACTATATGGGACATGGTGGACTGCCTTCAAAACGGCCAGGGGTGGTTGACTGGTGGTCTGGCTTGATCGGCAATCCTATGGCAGTCCCATTAGTCGTGTCTGGCTAATTAATGGACTCTCAGCTCACTCGCAAGATTCGGGACCGAAGGAAACAGCTCGCCACCAGGGTCCTTCAGATCTCTTTCTGATTCACGGAGCTCGACCCGGGTCCGATTGGCTTCACTACCCACGGGGCTCGTCGTTTTCCACCGCAGGTCGCATGTCCCGACCCGGAGAGGTCCCGCGAAGTCGGTGCGCGCGGGGACCGGTGGCCACCGCCTGTGCCACAGCAGGAGTTTCCGAACTTGTGGCCACTGGCAGAGATGGACCTTGGACTGTGCGTGGTGCGAGAAAGCCGCGCACCCTGGTGAAACCAGGCGGAGGCACACGCATTTGACAGACTGGTCATGGGAGTCAGATTATACGGATTGGACATGTGAACAAGGGTGAACTCATTATAAATCACATTGCTGTTCATCGTCAAGCTTCTCTCAAGGTATCGACCCTGTGGTCAATCACACCACCAACATCCATGACCCAACACGGAACCAACATGAACCAACCGATACGGAACCCAGTCACCCGGCGATCCGATCCTGTCCCGCTCGAGTGGCAAAACGTTCTTCAAGCGGAAGTCCCAGGGTGGCAAACCCTCCTGCAGCGGCACTGCAGAACGAGAGGACGGAACATGTGTTTCCAGCACCCTCCTGGCCAGGCTGTTAGTTGAGGGTTGTTGGACTCTAACAGGTCTCTATTGGTGACCTGTCGGAGGGTCCTGGTTAGTGGTTCAAAGTGGCTCCAAAGGGGTGTTTTGTGGGTCGCGGAGGTCGTGTGCAAACGGACTTAAGATCCCAAACACTCCATGCGACTGCCATAGGACTGCCGAGAAACGGCCAGGGCCTGGTGGTTTGGGGGGGGTCAATTGATCGGCAGTGTCTGGGGATGGATCAACTAGGTTCGTTGATGCATGTTGATGAACTTGTTACTTGTTGCTAGTCGTTGGGGTTCTCCACCCGGTTCGCAACTAAATAGTCCTATATATTCTATAGAAGGGTCCATATGTTGCAGGGTCCAAATGAAGCATGGGCTTGTCATCATCATCCAGACCTTTTTAGATTCAAGTGGGTGTAATCTTCTGGGACCCCGACTCCATCCTCCAAGGCGATGCTTCTCAACAAGGTCCCCCTGACCTTTCTAAGAGCACGGTGTCATCACGTGCACATGTGAATTAGGAACTTCTCTCCGAATCTCTCCGATGATTTTATACCTGCATCTTCCAAAGTATACTGCTGTTCCATGCTGTTTCACAACACATTCCTTTCACCATGTCGACATGGTGTGGAACGGACACCTGGTGGAGCCGCTCCGTCCAAACCGGTGGATGTCTTCCGTTTTAATCTGCCCCCCTTCCAACTTCCAACTGCCTGGTTTAGGTCCAGCCGCTCGGTCGATTCCGATGAGTGCTACCTGAGCCATGGCAGCTCAGACTGTAATAGGCTATGGCTAAGGCTGGACAAATTTGAATAAGAAGCTGATGAGGCCACTAAGCCTGGAAGGATGAAGATCTCACATGATCCCCACCCAACACCATTTTGAGGGGGTAAAAACCGAAAAGCCCAAAGCTCCTGGAAGGGCGCGATGAAACCGCCGGAGGCGGCGTCCACGTGAATGCCCACCTGCGGACCAGACCGGAGCCAAGGTTCACCCATGGCGAAACGAGCGCAGGGCGGAAGAGAGGACGATCTGTGAGACTCATATACCAACCACCCGAGGTCAGAACCTGCCACTTTTGAGCCTCCAGGTCTTGGGTCTCCCTGGAACAGAGGGTGGTCATTTTTAGGGGTGAAGGAGTGGCAGTGAAGGTGCATAATCATGCACAGTGAAACATGAAGATACATATACATAAAATGTGGTGGAGTGTCTTTGCCTTTGCTCAGCTTGGAGCCCTGGTGATGGTGATCAGATGTCTTCCAAATCTTCCAAGATATTTTCGGACGTGTAAAAGACACACATCAACCAGCCAGCCACAGGCAGTTCCGAAATCCCCCGGGACCGAAGAGGTTCCGAACCAGGTTCCTCTCCAAAGAAGTGAGAGGAGATGGATTCTTGGATGGTCGCTCTCCTTCGTTTTCGCTTACACTCCTACGTCTTGGTAGACACTGCAACTCCCAGCACTGGTTGTGTACCCCCGGGTCTAAAACCCCGGTCTCCCTACAAGACTTCTGAACGGTTTTTCGCCTTAGCCATGCACAGCCACTGGAAACTTCCTCATACTTGAACCTGTTCTTTTCTGAAAGGGTTTGATCTTAACACGTCCTTCGTCCAAAATGAGAAAAGGATGTCCATGTTTAATGCGTTATAACATGTTGCGTTCTCTTCGAGGCTGCATGCGTTATATTCGCCTTCAACCCCTTCTCCGCATTGATCTTCTCCAACATGGCATCGACCTGCCGTCCCGGCAGTTTGGCACGGCGAGAAAGCCCAAAACAACAGTCCAAAACGGGTCCTAGAGGTGGAGGCCAGTTCAGAAGAATCTCCAAAAACAAGACATAATACACCTTAAGACATCAATTGCTGCTGTATTTTTAATCATTCTTTCTATACAACGCCAAGACCCGAGGAGACGGAGCATGACCGCGCCTCCCACACCGGGTCATACCTCGGTTCGTGAAAAAAGACCAAGCCGGCAAATGGAGCGGGTGACAGGGCCGAGAAGGATTTTGAAACTTATGTGTTGTATATTTAAATTGTATTTACAAATACTGAAACTAATTATACCATATACTGTGATGAGTCATGTTGTTTTTAAGTTGTTTGACTTCAAAAAGAACAAACAAAGTGGCAGAATTATATAAAAAGTGGGTGCAGTTTAGGGGAGCGCTGCTCTTCCTGAAAGACTGAATGCGTTTCCTGAAAGAGCGAAACAAACAAATCATGCATGACCGTGCCGCAAAATTCTTTCTCAAAACCTGCATATGTATTGTTTGTTCCTGGTTGCATATGGAAAGGTTTGAAGATTATTTTGGGGGTCTGGAGGTTCAATCCTCTTCAGAAACGTTCCACGGATGAATTCTGCGCAGGATCCGAATCTAAAATGAACACCCAACAATCCCCCAAAAAATATTCCTGGAAGTGGGAAGAACCATCAAATAACCGTGCAGAAACTCGGCCTCACCGTCCCCGCAGAAATCAAATACCATGTTCCTCTATTTTTGCATCCGATGGTAGGTCCTCCACACTGAGGCCGGCTCTGGCCACCATAGTGGTTGCCCATGATGCAAACCTGGGTCTTGCAAGTTGAGTCCCAAATGGATCATTTCCACTTGGAATCTTGACCCTTCTCTGGTCGATGCAAAAAATCTTAGTAGTTCGAATCATGTCCAAAACGATCTAACACATGGCCAAACCAATCACTACACCACCTGCTTAAATGTGAGGGAATCGTCATTGTGTGAATGTGGGGGGAACCATGGTGAACCCACATGCATGTGTATTCATTACATGTTTTCCCCGTATCCAACCACGGGACGGATATCAACCCGACTGGTCTCACTACCATCCCTGCAGTACCGCGACCTCCCTCGAAACACAAGAGGTTGCCTCGACGAGTCATCCCGAATCATCGTGAGTCCGTTGGCCCTGGGTGATTTTTGCGTTGGTCGGCTTACGCGTTTCTTCAACATACCCTGCAAGTCCTTCGATACTTTTGAAAGACACTGAGGGGAACACGCATCTTAGCGAACACATGCTCCACATATATAATATCTGGACCTGAAATGTCCGCGCATTGGACGCCCAGACTCGTAGGGTCGTTTTGGAGTGCCCTTTGTACACTGGATCCTCCTTGGCCCCCCAACATCCAAAGTTTCTTGCAGTGCCCACTTCTTTTGCTAGGGGCCTCATGGTTCTTTCAAACTCATATTATCGCCATATTCCACTAAGGCAGAGCTTCACCATGTGTGGAACCCATTGCAAACACTCCATCTAATGTGAAATCCCGACTATTCAAGAGGTTCCAAAAATTGCTCTCAATCACAGAATGAGTAGTACAACGGTTTTGGTTTAAACTGATTTGTTTTGAGTTGAGCCTACAACCACTGCTACCCCCACTCCTACACCTGCGCCAATGAATTCTTTTGGCGGGCCTGTCCCCAACTCACTCTCCTTCAATTGATTGCCAGGGGAGGGGACTGTTTACTGCTTACTATTGAAGATCCGGCATTCATTATCGGATGCTTGCCACTCCTAATTATAGAACCTAAGCCCGTTTGGATAACTATATGTGATATATAAGTTCATAATGCATACCTCTTTCCTCTTCCGCTTGCAGGATAATGATGTCGATTGAAACAGGGCCCATTCGGCGGGACTGGAAATCCATCGGTCGTTGACCCGCACAATGGTGTGCGAACACCACCGGTGGTTTTGCGGTGCGCATGTGTTCCTGCAAGAGACGCGTCAAAGATTTGGACCTCTTGCTGAATCCATCGTGTCGGTCTACACGAGAATTGCAAAAATTATCTAAAAGTCCCATGTGTATTTTTTTCCGTAGTCGGGCCGGGAAGTTTGAGTAGGTGGTATGATTCGAGGGTATGATTCGGGGGTATGATTCGCAGATGATTCGCCGATTCGAAGTTGTATTGTTGGATTAGCTGGACTTCCAGCAGTGGGCCCACTCTGCGCCGAGGCAGTAGGCAAGCAGCATCTGTTGGATGCTGGGCAGACTAGGCAAATGCACTCTTCCACCAAAGACTCCAGTGGCCCTCTGCAGGCCCCACCAAAACAACCAGGATGTGGGATGGGTGGGAGACTGTGTGGAGGTGCCTGATTCGGGTATGAATCGGGTGTGATTCGTATGGCCATTAGATTCTGCAAAAGAAGGCGGTCCTTTGGCTCTTCTTCCCAAGGGAGAGCACATGGGAACATTATGAGTACCCCTGGGATGTGAGCCTTCGCTCTTCCCACAAGAAGACACAAACAATTTTGGCCAAATTGAGTGCTCATGGATCACACAATTGCAAACGTCATGCACCATTGGCTCGTGGACATCTACAAGGCACAAAGACCAGGGTATGATTCGGGGGTATGATTCGAGGTATGATTTGAGGGTATGAATCGCTCAAGTCGAACTTCCAACCACTACATCAGGAAGTACACGCCAAAAAATACAAATCCATATGCACATTAGAGCGGCCCCCGCTTCACGTTGAACAACATCTTCAACCAAGGATATATCCAAGGATGGAAAAGCACGATGGATCTCCTGCCGGCAAAGTCATGTGCAAAATGCATGCTAGCCCGGGGCCCAGCACTTCAGCACGGTGCAGAATAGCACCATGAGTGGGGCGCAACAACACGGGCATCCCTGGGAGCAACAGTCCATGAGTTGCTGGTATAGAATTGCAGAGATATGCCCCACGCATCGCAGCAAGTATGTATTGCAAAGGTTCCCATGCGTGCCATGTACTGGAGTCGCCAAAACGATCGACCTGCCGCCACAAGTCAACGCCACGGGTCGAGTGGTGGTACTGGGCCTGTGCTGCAGCTGAAGCCGTGGAAGTGGCGCGGGTGGAGTTGGAGTCATGATGAGAGATATACAGTGGGTGGAGCTGGTAACTTACAAAAATCACCAGAGAAGTCTGTCTGCGAAAGCACCGGAAAGGCACACTTCAGGCGTTGGACTTGACTGGCATCATCAAATGCCAGCACTGCCAGGAGCGTATTTGGCGCGGTCCTTGCTGCAACGTCTCTCCCATGCCAGAACCCGAGCCTGCAAAGACCAGATTTGCCCAAACGACCCTTGTGACAGGTGCGAGGGCGGCAGTCAGGCAGGCAGCAGTGAACAGCACTGTGTCAAACATCATACAACAACATATTGGTCCGTTCGACTCGCACTGCGTTGAACTTCTTATTCTCTGGCATAGTGGCATCGTTCTCTAAAGCCATGGCTGCCACATGCTGCCACCAACACTTGGGACGCTTCAGTAAAAACTCCCTTGTTACTGGCCACAAACCACCGGTGCTGCCGCAACCCGAACGGCCCGTGGCACGTGTTTGCTCACCCTAGGGAGATCCAAGTACCTTCTCAGAAGAAGGCTTGGAAGGCCCAGTCGTACCTTCTCGGTATGTGGATCCTTCCTGGCACCCACCTCAAACACCTTCGAAACGAAGGTACGACTGGAGCGCAAGGGGTCTATATATGTGATCTCAATTTCAGCCAAAGGATCCACCCACGTCCATCCGCACTGAAGACGAACCCCGCGGATGGACCTCCCCGTGTAGTATAGCTGAGACACCACTCCGATGGTCTTCTCATCGATGAAGTCCTGGAAGCAAAGCTTGACATCATCAACCCAAGACTGGAACTCTACAAATGTTGCCCAAGTTACGCTCCAAACTCACAGCCCAACCGGTCCCTCAAAACCCATCGACCAAAAAGAGGCGGGATGGCGTTGATGGATTCGATTCGTGGCAGGTTGGATGACCTGGGGGATCCTGTGAAACACGCGAGACGGTCCTTGATCTTGGCGGGATCCAAGGTGAAGGTCTTGTAGCTGGGAGGCACAAAGCGTGGTTGGATGTCCATGTACTTGAACCTGAGCTGACTTCGAGACCAGACGTGGCGGAGGGTACAGGGCAAATGGGTTGCGCACGGGGAGAGATGGGTTGCTTGGGATAATGGTGCCCACAATGAGGTTTGTGGTTCACAAATAGGACTAGTTGGTTATGTCAAGTTATGTCAGTTGTATACCACTTGCAAAGAGTCGAAGTCACTGCTTTGGTCCATTGGTGTGATACCACTTGGCATACCCTAATAAGTGGAAGCACTGTGGACTGTGGTTGCCAATGAAACAACAGCTCTCCAGTTTCGTCCAGCCACAATCGCAGGAAAGGCAGGCTGTCAAAGGTTTCATCTGTTTCTTCCATCATGCATCCCTCTTGAAAGTAAGACAAAAATGGAGAAAAGTGAAGATCTCTGATCCCTCTGAGTCTTTTCCAGGCACAGCAAAACGTGGGCGCTTCGTATAGAGCTTCACTGCATCACGTGTCCGGCGCTTTCCCGGACACGATCCACTCCGGGGCTGGCCCCCTGAGGGTCCCAACAACTTCTCCCAGGCAGCCTGGAACATCGTGGAGATCACCTGGATTTCGGGTCGCAGAATCGGTCGCAGATCGGAGGTCTAAAGGCAAGCTCGGTTTTTCAGCTGGGCCGCTCTAGCAAGCTCGGGATGGTATGGGTCTCCAGCAAGCTCGGTATGGGCTGGACCTCTCTAGCAAGCTGCTACTGCTAGCTGCTAGCTGTTGTTCTTCTTCTTTTTGGAGGGGGAATACAGGGGTGTTAGAATACAAGTGGGGTGCCCGGTTGAAAGGCCGTTGATGACGGACTTCCGAGCCGCTTCGCTGGAAAATACAGGTTGACCTTGTTCCGCATGGTTTTGTTTAGTGGGAAAACCGATCCCGCAAAAAGGTTAAAGGATGTCAAAGGTTATCCACAGACTGGGTAGGATTATGAAGTTTGTACCAGGACCCCTATCCCAAAATCAAGACACTGTCCCAAATGGCCAGCCGTGCCCGCGGCTGCCGGCAAAGGTCTGTTATGCCCGTTGCACTTGGGGCATGTTTCACCTGAATGGGAGTCCGACCAGGAACATCACCAGCCTCAGGTGGCCACCTGTTCTGCCTGCCATATCAAAACAGTGACAATCATTAGTCGTGGTCTGGCTCTTGCAGCTGAGTGGTTATTCCCTTCCCGACCCCCTTGAAAAGGTGACGCAGCTGCAGATCTGGTCTGGGGATCCTTCTCCAAAAAGGAGCAAACGACTGTATAAGAAGATTGAGCCTACTTGACATTAGGAAGTTTGGAGGTAATCTGTTTAGACTGCCCCAATGGCTCGAAGTTCCTCCCACATCAACCAATCCACCTGGTTCAAATTTGACCCACCAGTCCACTGCCATCTAAAGTGCTTGGAGCCTCGGGCTCGTCTCTCGTTTCCGTTGTTCCCAGTCCGACCGTCGCGCCCAGTGGCCAGGTTGGGGTACACGCCACGCACTTCATCTTCGTTCTTCCCAAACTTCTGCCCCTCAGAGCAGACAGGTCGTCACTCACCCCCCCGAGGGGTCACGGAAGGTTCGAGGACTGGAGGTCGAGGTCAGAGATCGACCGGTTGACCTATTGAGTGGTGTTTCGTTGTTCGCGGCAGATTAAAGCACCAGGACTCATTTGCCAGGTGCACCAGGACCCATTCCTTTTGGGTCTATCCTATTACCAATGCCCTTGTTCAAAAACAGTGATGATTGTTTACTGACTGTTACACATGTTCTAGGACATTCTAGGACAGACCCAACCCATTCCCATCTGCAAACCTGGGAGTTTGCCACACTTTTGCTTCACCAAACACAAGCAAAAAACAATCTTCGTGTGGGGGGGGATGTAAGGAATATGGAGTGAGGAAAATGTCCCCCGCCTGGGCCTACATGGTCAATTGGTTGGATCCTGATCGGTGGCCGCCTTTGCCCCTCCTCCCGTCTTGGCACTCTGAGGTTTCTGAGCGTTGTGGCCGAAATGTTGCGACATGTTGTGACAAATCGAAAGCGGAGCCTAGCAAGCTGTCGTCGTGCTTTGATGTTCTTCTACTGGAGAGTCATCCCACTTCGTGCTTTCGCAATGCCAAGGCCAGGCTTCTCAATCAAAACGGCAAGGCTATGGACGTTGAATGCACTGGCCAATTTCAGGAGAGAAATGCATGTTGAATAGAACATGCTGACAGTGCGCACTGTAGGTACCCTGACACCTTTGCATGAAACTGCTGTCACCCTAATTTTGGAGACCGTATTAACGGCAAGTGAAATTCATCTAAGAATGCAAGAATTGTCTCTCACCAACACACTCCCTCCAAGAATCATTGCAGTTCCAAAACACAGTCTGGTGTTCCAGTTCCGTCATGGCCTGCCATGGCCTGCCATCCACCCACCGTCCTCCAGGACATCGGGGTGTCCGGCTGAACGACCCGGACCCACTGTCCGGGATCAGCCAGGACACCCAAACAGGATGGTCCAGGCTGCGCCCAAAAATCCCTAGTCCGAGCCCGAGCGGTCTGGCTGGATGGCTGGACCGAAGGCATGAGTCACTAGCAACTCAAGGGGTGTTTCATCGATTTCAGGCAAAATGTCATTAAAACAACTCAATGGTATGACCCCCACCGCCTGAAGTAAACAAGCGCAACAATTCGTTTTGCCACCCGAGAGAGGCGGCCACGCCCAAAGAACAGATGTCGAGGTGCATACCACTTTCGCCAGCGGAATTTCAGCGCCAGCCCCGCCAACAAGCAGGCCTCTCATCACCCAAGGCAGCGAAGGTGGGCTTCCAGTCCCGTTTTCCAACATGACATCGACACCAGGACCTGACCTGTTCATGACCTAACTTGAGATTCCAGTGGCTGAGGTCATCCCTTAGTCCAAGTTGCTTAGGAACTCCACACATCACTGAGAGAAGTTCCTGGTTGACCGGAATTTTCTGAGCACGACCAGCATGGCATGAGACTGCAGTCCAACATGTCTTGCTTATCAAGCTGGATCTCTCTATATATATATATACACAGTATATGCCTATGTTGGTGTAATTTTTCATCTTTTTGACGTAAGAATTGCCACGTCATGCCATGTCTCTAATCAAACACGCTGGGGCGTTGGCGGAGCCACTGCCGTGTCAGTCGCGCTTTCTATCTTGGGTCTACTAGAATGTTCTCAAACACCAAACAAATCGAGATTCTCCAACACCTGCCTTGCGGCATGGACTTTCATGCCAAACGCACAAAGGCTGAATAAGTTGCAACAAACCAGCAAACCATCTCCGTTTCTGCCTCGCGCAGCTGTGCATAGGGCTTTTGGCAGCATAAAGCAAAGGACACAAGTAGACCCTTCATTGAGCCAAACTCTCACCTGAGGCCTCTGCTCACCCCAAAAAAGCCGGTCTAAAGCTTGGGATGACTCAGAAACTTCGAGTTGATATTTATAAAAATGCATTTAACAAAAATATCATATATCTGCATAATTCTGCATAATAGTACAGTCTATACAGATTATACAGTATATCATAGACCTCCGTTCATCCCGAAGATCCCTGGCCGACACCAGTGCAGTCCCGGCCGACACCGCCTCGGTGGAGCCCACGGTGCCGGCGCCCGCGTAGCAGCCGTAGTCGTCGAAGTCGTCGGGCTTCGGGCAATGCCAAGCCTTCGCGATCCTCGGCGCGGAGCAGCGCGTGGCGTGAAAATGGGGAGATTCCAAGCAACGAGGTTCTGGAAGGACCATAAACCACAACCGATTGGTTGGGTGATGTTGGGTGTGAAAAGCTAGTTAGAGTATCTGAGTATCCCTTAGGTACTGCAGGTGATGGGTCCTTTTTTCAGGCCACTTCACCTCACCGTGGGAAGTCTTTCGCTTGACGCGTTTCGACCTGTCTGGGAGTATGCCATAGTTGTACATTGGGTTTGTTGACCTGGGGTCAATGTAGGCATATTACAATACATTGAAGTGTCTGGGATTGCGCAGTGGCTGAAGACCCTGGTGGCGCAGGATGGAAACACGCAGTAGCCTCACAAACGCCAAAACCAAAAAGATTGGATGGAATGTTGCACACTCAAAATCCAAGAAAAACAGAACCCCCCAGGCTGACCAGCAGTCGCAAGGGTTTACATGATTTTGGCTTGGAGGTCTTTGTCTTTGGACCCACCCACCACCAACTTGTTTAATTTTCTTTCGACAATGCGACATAACACCCAAACACATAAAAACACTCCGAAACTCTAAGTTCATTCATCTCCCAAAACGAAAACAAACAAGAACACATCATGTACTATACATGTGTAAAAAACACACGTGTGTGTATATGTGCATGTGTCTTCTCATTCTGGCTCTGTTTGTTTGCATCACGTTGCATCAGCTTTGGTACCCGAGGATCATGTTGATGGTGTCATTGTGCATTCGAAAGGACTCAGGGTAGACGGTCTGATCGGCGAGGTTCACCTTGAGACCCATCAAGGCCACCTTCTCTTCTTCCTCAGTCGTGTCGTCCGCGGGCATCAAGCGTTTGAGTGAGCGCCTGATGACGTCATGCGGAACGTCGCCCGGCAGCGAAGTAGACCCCGTTTGCACCCGCCTTGTAAAAAAGGACGCCAGCGAGGTCAAGTGGATGATCGGGTGAGAATATTATGATATGATAGGTCCATAAGGTTTTCTTGTCATCCACAATGTGGTTGTACATATTATCAGGTTGCTGGTGATATAAGGCTGCTGGTGATCCATGAATCTGTGTCTCCCCTTCGCGACCATCACATCGCACATCACACCAAAACAATTGGCATGTCCGTGCATGTTGGTAACACCCAAGCGTCTGGCTCAAAGACCACATTCACATAAGAGCTAGTGTTCAGTCGTTCAGAGAAGTCCAGGAGGTGGTAGTCCTGCGCGAGTCCCGTGTCATACGGCTGTCCTTGGGTCAAGGCTTAGGTGGGCGGACAGGTCCAAAGGCTTGAAGTGAAGGAGTGAGCCTTTCTTTCTCGCCTGAAGTGAAGGTGAAGGTCCATGTTCTTGGGGATCAGGACCATATTTTTTTGGCCATCAAAATGTAGGCATATATATGGCAGTCCCATGAAGTGTCTGGGTATGATGCGCTGTAGCTGTCCCAACCCCAAGTTTGGAGAGCCGCCTCACACCCACAAAACCTTCTTCTTTCAGGAATTTGTGGGTAATACAGGTGAACTTCAATGTCATAGTCCGACACACTTTGCAATGTTTCTGTCAAGTACCTGCCTAGCCAGTTCTTAAGCTCATGCCCATGAAACCCTGACCGCCACCTCTTCATGCCCTAAGTGCTTATATGAATCAGAAAAAAACCTGGTACGAAAATCCTGATCCCAACGTCAAACCATCGCAATTTCAAGCGGCGGTCTCTTTATCAGCTGTCTGAACTGGAATCACTGTCAGAATCTGTACTATGGTCAGAAGAAGTCTGACCCTCAGAAACATCTATACCATCCTGCACTCTTTGGAGGCGCTGCTGTGCCCGCTGAAATCTGGCGTACCTCTTGGCCCTAGATTTTTTTTTGGCGGCCAGCTTCTCTGCAAAACTTAAGTAGGCAGGATTTCTCTTGGGCGTGGGCAATTCTTTTGGGATTCCCAGACCCGTGTCAAATGATGTTCCTTACTCCAATCTGGAGGGTCGTCTTCCCAGTGACTCCTTCGTAGCACTCTTTTCTCCATGTTTCAGGGTTCTCTTCTGCCAGGGTTTCGATATTCCAGTCGTGGATTCGTGTGCATTGAGGACAATCAGCAAAGATCCTGTTAAACAACAAAGGTGGGTGATTACCATTTGTCCTGGGAGGCTCAGCATCTAAGGCTTAAGTACGAGTGATCTTGAGAGATTTTGCATAATAGAAATGCAGCTTTCTTTTCAGGGTAGCACACCTTCTTCGCAATCCATTTCGGTCCAGCAGGGTCTTTGCGAGCCTGCTCTTTCGCTCCCACTTCGAAAGCCCGGCGCATTGCATCTACATCGTAAATGGGTTGTTTTTGGGCAAGCCGACCCATCTTATGCACACCGGTCCATGTGAACATCTTGTCTAAGATTGACTTGCCGTGTTGCTCAGCAAGGAATCGGATGTTTTGCTTTCGGGTTGAAGGCAAGACTCCAGCAGCAAAATAAAGGTTTTCAGCGCTTCTAAAATGCGGCCCTGTGTCGGACCAAAGTTGTAAGGTGCCAGTGGTGGGAAGATTCCAACAATCCAAATCTGTCTGCAACATAATATTGCTTGCCTCAGCGGTTTGCTCAACCACATCTGCAATGAACAGCAAAAAAACATAACTCAATCTTTGGAAGCTCTTCTCTTCCGTAGACGATGCAGTGTGTTTAGCGCAAACACCCCCCCAACAACTCAATGCAACCTTCTGTTGGCTGTGCCACATGGGCCCTGTCTCAACTGGAGCCATGGGTAGCTTGAGTTTCTTTCGCCGGTCGTAGGCCAAAAGGAAATCGCCACGTGGCAATTTACAACTCTGCGTTTCCAACAAAGATTCGAAGACATCTGCCATTCGCCTTGCGCTGACCATATGCCACTGGTAGAACCGCAAAAGAGACAAACGACCTCTCAATTCAAATTCTAGGCGCTTCCACTTCGGAGTACAAAGTCAACCTGTCAGCCAAAGACAGCCCTTGTCTTTCCAGATGGTGATTTTCATGGTGATTGTGGATGTAGTGAAGAATGCCCCGAGCAACTTCCGCCCAATCTCCCCTTGTTGGAATCGTGTTCCTCCTTCTCTTTGTGCCAATGCTCAAAATATGATGGAAGGATTGCCAGGAGGTTAAACAAAGCCTATTTGGCACCCCCCAAATCAAGCCTGCTAGGCTTCCCCCTTAAAAGCTTTCATTCTTTCTGCGCAAGGGGGGCGTGAGCACGAGCACAAACCTGGCGCCTGTGCTGCGGACACAGAACTGGACATGTCTGCAATGACCTGTACAAGGCCTGCTTCCTTCAGAGCAGCCACGGAGCGTGAACATTTCAACAAAACGCAACTACGTACACAAGAGTAGCAGCAGCCTCCTTTTTGGTTCGAATAGCTTTGCGTGCGCTTCTGACCTCCCACTTGCAAGAGCGCCGCGCCCTGCCACACAGCAGGCAAGATGATTCCACATCAGGTACAGCTCCGGCTGAAGTCTTCCTTCCCTGATCTTGGAATGCCTTGGCAATCTTGCTCAGCCTGGCAAACTTCTGGGAATGCAGTTGCAACAGGCAAGAAGCTTTCTTGCCCAAACTTTCAGCAGGCACAGCCTGAGCAGCAGCAGCCTCCACAGCCCCCGCAGCCTGTTGCACAGGCACCACACCCTCCACACCACCAGCTGGCCCCACAGCCTGTGGACACAGCCCCCACAGCCTGTGGACACAGCCCCCACAGCCTGTTGCACCACAGCAGCAGCTGGCTCCACAGCCTGTACCCAGTTTCCACAGCAGCAGGCTCCACAGCCTGTTGCACAGGCACCTCCACAGCAGCAGGCTCCACAGGACCACCAGAGCTCTGCATAGGAATGGCCAGCTGTTCTTGTGCATTTTTGCACCACACAACTTGGCCTAGCTTCCGGCAGAAAGGGATCGCCTTTTGGCTTCTTCAAGGACCAACCATGAGCCCTTTCATACGTAGTCTGTTCCACTGGGCAGCAATGCCGAGGCAGTTCTGCAGCTAGCTGCTCTTTTGTCAAAGGTGTGGATCCAGTAAGTTCCACGTGAGCAAGTTCTGAACAGCAATGCCTATGCGGCCTCTGATGCTGGTGCCGGTCGCTCTAATTTCGAGTGACTTTCGTCCATCCATGATCATGTCAGCCCACGCCTGCTTCAGCAGCAGTATGTGGCTCATCTGCGCTGCCACTTCGGCATCCTGCTGCTGCATAGACTGCTGGCTATCAGTCTTTGGCCTCTTCTGCGGCGTTGCAACGGTCCGCACATCAGTATTCTTGCGCTTGCTGCCACAATTCGGGGGTTCCACGCCTTTCTCGTCAGCGAACTTCTGAGCTTTCACAAGGCTATAGAAATTCCGAGTCTTGCCATTGGCCATTCCACTTGTACACCTTGTAGATGTCCAGGGTGGTGTTCTTCACTCGCTCTTCCACGGTCCACATGCTCGGCAGAAGGAGGATCTAGAAGATAGAAAAAGATGGAAACATATCGTGGGCTGGTGCTGTCCTGTCACTTTACAGTTGCTCTTTTCTAAGGCTTGGTGGGCGAAACGTCATGGAATCAAGGGTGCAAAAAGGTTCTATATATAGTCTTTGTAGACTACACACACACACACACACCCGCGTGCGCAACAAAACATCAACCATCGACACGCGGGCTCGGCCTAACCCCCCGCGGGCCGACGTCCGGTCCTCGACCACCCGCACGCAGTGGCGGGCGGCGGTGCCTTCATCGGGGATCTGCATGTCCGCCTCGCGTGTCCAGCGCGCGGCGCCGCTGGCATAGTAGGGCCTTGGTGGAGGCCACGTGAGGCGAAGCGGGAGGGGGTAGGAATGGAGGGATGGGCTCACATGGGACCTTGAAAGCGCACTGCAATATGCAGTAAACAGGTTAAGGTTTCAATTAATGTATTTATACACTGCAATCATCTGCAATATCAATGGGCATGAAGTGGCATGAGATATGTTCTTCAGTTGTTCTTCAAACATGGGTCTTCGTTTTCATTTTATGACTCCGGGCCTGTCTCCGAGACTTCATGCAGGGTAGCAATGGGCGTGGAGACACATATTATGTGGTACCCGAAAAGAAGTAAGGGAATCATGTCCAAACGAAGTGGCGGTTTCTGCGCAATGTTCAGATGTGAGCGGGTTTGTCTTAAGATGAGACCTGCCCTCAAGCCATGTAACTCTTGGATCTACAAGGCGCTGATGTTGAGTGGGGCATTCCTTGTTGATTTGTATGCCAGATTCAAGAACTTTCCCATCCCAACCTTGCGACAAACACCAGACGTCCAATGACGTCCAAGATTTGGTCCTGATCTGTGAAACGTCATGTGTGATTGGGGTGCATTCAAGGCGGCTCCGGCTTTCGCTCTGCCCACTCAAATTGCAAAGTGACCTGCTTGTTTTCAGCCAATTGGAGATCTGAAAAAATCATCGAGATTCACATAAGTTTGCCCACATCTCTCACAGTCACAGCGCATATGAACACCCAATTACCCGTAATAGTCAAGGCACTTTGTCACGCGTGTGGGTGACGGGGAGTCATTGTACGCCATGGGCCCAGCAGTCCGCGCTTCTTTCAGCGCCTTTCAGCGACGTGACAAAAACACGTCCCTCAAGCTACCAAAACTGAGCTGCGGAAAGGAACAGAGCTGGTCGTGGGCTTCGGAACCCCCAACGACGAACTCACGCACCCGAATCCACGAACCCGTAGGCAAACAGGGAACATACGAAGATCGTCAGGAACGCGCCCCACAGCAAAACGCGGGGACGGAATCGACACTGGGACACACGAACCTCTGGGAGGGCGACCCTGTGGCATATGACACTGCAGGACACGAATTGGAATTAAATGGTCTTCAGTCTGTCTCCTTCTCTCTTTATCTCTCTTTCTCTTTGTCTATCTCCTTTCTGACCTTTTCTGTTTCACCTTTAGTTGCTTGGGAGAAAGAGGTCCTCAAAACAGAGTGAACACTGGAGCTAGTTAATTGTTCAGTCTGTGTCTTTCTCTTTGTCTATTACAATTGGTGCACTCGCTCCTTGCAGCGACCCAGCATCCTGCCCGCTTATTTGCGGGCCTCATCTGGCCCAAAATCAGCAAGAGAAAGGTCCGGAAGCAAATGAATGGGCCCCACTGAAGCACAAGAAAAGAACTGACTCTGGATTTACTGTGATTCCTTTTCAAGGTTTTGAGAAGGCTGACCCAAATGCTTCCTGATACAGAACCAAACAGTTAATTCTTTCCACATGCATGGGTGATGAAAAACACCGAATCCCAAGTCCCAAGTTGACATTGCGACTTGCACGTTGGTCTGTACCCCAAGACAAAGGATTAACACCGAACACCAGAGTTTACAAACAAATAACTCTGGTCTTCACTCCATTTCATACAGATTGGGGCTCTGCCTTTCTTAGTCCAACCTAATAGCAATGACCTCCAACCTAAGAGTGATGGCCTCCACCCTAGTAGCGATGGCCTCCAACCCTTGGACTGGATAAGTCGTTGAAGACCCTTCGCAGCTGGGTGGCGAACATGTGACACCAATGTCCAGCTGAACAGGGCAGGTGACGTCCTTTTCGTCAATGAGATGTTCAGGTGCTGCCACTTTGTTCTGTGGGGTGATCAGTGTATTCGCCATTCATTCTAACAAAAATCTCTGGACCAACTCGCACAATCTGAGATCTGAGTTCTGTATCTGCAGTCGATAGCCCTTCTGAGGTGTAGACTGTAGACTAGACTAGTGACTAGCGTTTTGCCAGGGCAACCAAGCGATCAATTGCACTCAAACTTACTCATTTCAGCCCGAGAGGTCCTCTTTTCGAACTTGCCAACTCATGGAGAGTCATGCCTACTGCGAAGTCCTTTGCTCCGCAGGTTCTGCGATCAAAACCGTCCACGGCTATGCAGCTGGCAACTCCGAGTGATTAACGGAACACGGCCAGCTCATTCCGGGAACCCATCTTGTGATTAATAATTAGGTAGACTGGTGCAGTTGACATCCGCCCAGCCTCGGCGCCCTCTTGAAGGACCCAATGTTCCCCAAAAGGGCTGTTGGGATCCGAAGTCGGCAGTTGGGCCTTCTAAAGCACAGGGATTCACGACATGTTGCCCACCCTTCGAAGCAAAGACCGACCATCCGGAATCAGCAAGCTGGATCAGCGCCCGAGGCCCACACGGGCGCCGATTCAAGGCTGACGTCATGAGATCGAGGCCCATGGCGTGGTCAAATTGGGGTCCGATCGCACGAAGAGTGCAGTGTTTTGAGAGAGGTTTCCATGATCATTGTGGGATTGAAATGGATCGAACATCGCCTATGTTCTGAAGATGCCTGAAGATGTCTGAAGTGTTACTCTTGTTGAAGTCGTACTTTTACCCTTAATGTAAATTTCTTTGTATTGGGTCTCGTATGGTCCATCATCACACATAACAATTAGCAATCGATAGTTTTTGTAATTCCAAATCCCAATGGAATCCACTTGTCCACCATGCGTTGCTCCAGAACCACCACCACCAAGCAGAACTGCTAAAGGAGCCTGCAGCCTTACCACATGACTCTCCACCCCTCAGAACGAAAACAACCGGTTTGGGGACACTTCTATTCAGAACTGACCTAGTCGTTGGTCCACTCGGCGATGTCCATGGACACGGTGGGGCCGTCTCTCAGCAGTGCGACCAAACGCCCCACATTACCTTAGCGTGTTTTTTTCACGCATGGCGCCGACGGCGAAGGACCCGCCAAACGAAGGGCGGCGAGAAGGATGAGAAGTTAAAGCTGGTGTGGCATGACGTTCGTTTCAGACAAGAAAGCACGTGATCATTTCTTCAAAATGCCTTCTCATCATGTATATCTTCAATAACTAATAACTACCGCGTCATGCAAAAGAGATGTTAAACGTCTGGAGTCATGTCACATTGGGTGTGGACATGAGGTCGCACGAGGTGCGGGCAGGCTGGGCGGGATCTTGATAGAGTTTACTAAATGACATGATTGATCGATGGATTGATAGGTTGATTGATCCATTGGACTCGACATCTGTCGACACACAGCTGGACAGACTTGGGATGTCGATAAGTCGATGCTGTTTGCAAAGTCTTGGGTCCACAAGTTCTCAACCACGCTCTAAACCATGCTCAGAGGGGCTGCAAACCTGTTGGGCTGCTCTAAGAGTGGCAGCTGGTGGGTTTTTCTTGTTCCTCTCCGTCCTCGAAGGATCACTGTTGCAGCACTCTCTTTGAGCTAATTTGTTTGGCTCTATCTATATATATATATATATGACTGTATATTATGATCCTTTTAGGATCTTTTGTTTGCTAGACTACACCGTCCAGTTTGGAGGGATCGCCTCATTCCGAAGTGATGAATGACTCTTCATCAAAGCGACAGATTCCATGGCTGGCTTAGATCCTGTGTCAAAACCGAACTTCGCAACGAAGGCTTTGGTGTCTGTTCTATGGACATGCAAAAGGCCTGACACCGGCAAAGGCGCCTGCCCTGCGATCTTGCTGGCTTCTATGCCACACAATACGACCCGATGTCATCCGAATCTAGTGAGCTTTGGCCGAAAACACAGGTATTCAGCTCAATACGGTTTGTCATCTGGATGCTTTCTGAATCTTTTGCGGTTCATTTGGGTTCCCAAAGCCTCCGGTTGAAGCTCGCAGGTTGCCAAGCTGCTGCTGAAGGTACACACGCACACGCTCGCCTGGAGACAAGGATTGTGGCAATTGTTGGCATGTCAAGCTTTTCTCACACATTCATATGGCAGGAACCCAACAATCAAAGGAACCAACATGATGGTGTATTTCTGTGTTGCAAAAACCAAACAATCAAAGGAACCGAACTCTTTCTGTCTTTTCTGTCGTGTTTTGGCTGTGAGTCGTGTCTCAAAGACTCCGGACCAAACAAACTGTCAGGATGGGACCCGGGCACACGGTAGCAGAATACTTGGTGGATTCGCCCCAAACCAGCTTCAACTACCCTTGGGTAGGGCGTCAGTGTTTCCGGATACAATGGGCTGCTTGTAGCCTCTCATAGTGGCTTCAGTTTCATAATCTATAGATGGCAACAAACAAATACTTCAATATATATCCGCCGACCACACACCGTGGGGTGAGGCGTGACTGTCGATGTTAGCCTTATCCTTAAGCCTTAAGCCTTAGCCTTAGCCTTAGACTTAAGCCTTAGCCTTAGACTTAAGCCTTAGCCTTATCCTTATCCTTAGCCTTAGACCTAGTCCTTAGCCTTAGACCTAGTCCTTAGCCTTAGACCCAGACCTTACCTCCCCTACCCCTCCGGACCTTTGTTGCAGTGACGAAATCCCGACCTAAAAGCGACGTGATTGCGACGTGATTGCGATCTGATTGCGACGTGATGGTGACCTGGATTGTCCAAGATTCTGCCATCCCAATTGATTTACATCTTGGGGCACCCTCTCCACCCGCGCGGGAAAATAAGCACGGTCCAAAATGGTCCTGGGCTCGAATCCCGGGCTGGTCGCGGCGCGGTCCCGGCCAGTGCCCTTGCTTTTTCGTAGATTTTGTCACGTTTTCTGTTGGATTTATGGGATTTTCAAAGGCTTTTCTAGCATTTTCCTAGGAATGCTCTAGGCGTTGTCTAGATTTTGTTGTGTTTTCTGCTGCATGCTTTTCCAAGAATTTTCTAGCGCTTCCTCTGGTTTTTAGGTTCCCAGATTTCCCCAAAAAATTGGTAACCTTTTGCTAACCTATGGAACCTTCTAGCACCGTCCAGCGCAAAATCTAAACAAAGCCTAGAGCATTCCTAGGAAAATTCCAGGGCATTGGCCGGGAACACTAGAATCGAATAGGTTAAAAATAAGTTAATCAATTTTTGGGCAAATCAGGGAACCTAAATGCAAGAGGAAATGCTAGATAATTCTACAACAATGGAAGAAAATAGGGGAACTCCTACCCGGGTCCGGAGGGGTAGGGGCGGTCTAAGGCTAAGGCTAAGTCTAAGGCTAAGGCTAGGCTAAGGTTAAGGCTAACATCGACAGTCACGCCTCACCCCACCTCTCTGCCTAGAGCAAGGCTAGCGCTAAGGTTCTATCCCTTGGGGGTCGGCGGCTGCAGGCGGTAGCCTGGTAAATAATCCGCGCCTTGTGCGATCTAATTAGCACTCTGTATCCAACATTCTTCGTCTCCACCGCCGTTTCAATGGCACCACATCCTCCCACCGGGGAGCGGCCCTTTTGAGTGGCCGGCCCGCCGCACGTGGTCGGCACGCCTGACGCAGCACTTCAACGTCTGCCAAGAACTCGTGGGTCATTGCCACACGCTGCTTGGCCGAGAGGGCGTTGTAATCCGCCTCACCGGTGGAGATGTAAGGCATTGGACCAGTATCTCAAACGCCTTCAGACCCCAGGCATGTTTTGGGGGGACCCCATGACCCCATGTCAGATACCCCCTCAGAAGTAAAAGGGAATCTCTACCAGGGCCCCTAAGGGGTGGTTAATGGACATGCCGAATCACCTCTAAGGGGCTATCAATTGGACAACCCCAAACAGGGGCCCTGGCGCCGATGTGTTCGTTTGGCATCCGCCCACCCGCCGCTCTAGGGACTGCCTCCCCCGCTTCTAGGGTCTATGTTTCTGGCAGTGCTTCAGATCTGGAACAGTCCTGGCAGTTGGTCTCCTGAAGAAACAACATATAGACTAACATAGTTTGGGTCTGTCCTACTAGCAATAACAGTGGATGATGATGGTTACCAAAGGCCTTGTTCAGAAATAGTGCTAATTGTTTACTGACTGTTACAGGTAATAGGACAGGCCCAATAGATATTGTGCACGGGTCTACCTCAAGTCAAGCACATGCCACATGTTCAATGATTTCTATCAACTGCTTCAATCATACACCCAACTTCCAGAAGCTATTCTTGGGAAGTTGTTCCAAAAACATCTATTCCTGTGGGTTTCGTGCCAACTTGGAGCTATGTGTTAATTTCATGGAATATGACCAAACGAATCAAAAATAGAGCATGCAAAGAGCTTCATGATTGTGATATTCTCGTTTCTTCACCCGCTTGCCGAGCCAGTGTGAGAACTAGTGTGAGGTGTAGCGTGAGGTGTAAGCAGTCTTGTTGAAAGATTGTGACCATACCTACAAATACAGTATGTTGTTTTTCTATTTGACCCAAAAAGTATGATTCATGGGATTTCTGTTACAGTAGTGGGTTGTGATGTACGTTTAAGGAGCAGCACTGAAGCAAGCACGGCAAGCCTACTCAACCATCTTTTGTTCCATCCACATTGTGCCGTGCACATTCATGATGCCTATCAACACGGCGTCAATGTATAGATATTAGAGCCCCAATGTCAATCCCAAACGCTCCACCTATGCGGACATAGAATAGGTTCTTGCTGTTGAATGTAGGCCAACTTGGCGTTCACGGAGCGCTTATATATATATATATATAACTATAATATACTATAATTATATAACTTATGACCGGAGATTCGGTGCCTACCCGCCCCGAAAACAGCTGTGCCGCCGCTTGGCCCCAACCGAGGCCCCGGTCCTCGGCCCCGCCCGGCCGCTCGCCGCACGGCGCCTGCCAATGACCATTCCGCAGATGTTCCGGCACGTCTTCCCGCTGGCGCCATCGCACCTCGGTGTTGGAGAAAACGAGAAGGTACAGCTTCAGCTTCCCAAAAGAGCAGTAGCACAATGATGTAATTACTGGATTAGAATTTATGACATGTGCAGGGCAATCTGGACTATGGAATTGGCACCATTTTCACTCACACCAATTCAGTACAATAAGGTCGTACACACACCATATTAATCCCCGTAAAAGTTTCAGGGGTGACGTTGGGCCCACCAATTTGTAGTATACAAAACCGTGCGTCCTTACAAAGTGATGTAACTAGTCGAATGGCTCACTACAAAATGCATAGGCCCAACGTAGCCACTCGAGGGAGTAATTCTCTCAAAAATGATTACAAAATGGCGACCCCAACCTCACGAATTGAGTGTCGATCTTCAATGAAAACTGATGAAAAACTGAATCAGCAAATTTGAGCCGGTTTTCGATCGCGTCTGTTTCTCGAAGGCCGCCCCAGCGACCTCTGTCAGAGTGGTTCAGGAATGCCACTTGTTGGGCAAATTTCACTCTCGCTAAAGACCTGTCAGAGTGATCATCCATAAGAATGCCAATTTTTGGCAATAGTCAATCACTCTTCTGCAGCTGCAGCTGGCGTCTGGCTGCAAATGAAATTGCTAATTTCATGAATCAAGCGCAGCCATCCTTGCCGGGTGGGATTGTCCTTTCGGGACAACTGCGATTCGATAGTCTGGAAAAGCTTCCGCACTTCCGCATCATAAGCTGCTAGCGACCTCAGTGTCTTGTACCTCGGTTGGAAAAGTGAACGATTTTTCTTTAACCGCCCAAAAAGAATCACACACAGAGAGACAAGCTGCATGTGCTCGATGCAAAGCGGCCCCAATTCAAGGACACGATCAAAAGGGGCAAGCTTGGCAGCTGGGTGCTTCATCCGCATATTGCCATCACTGTCAAACACTGGATTCTTCGGAAAGGCCTCCCAATCTGCACGCCTCAGCTTCTCAAGCTTTTGACGGACAAGATCCCTTCCCTCCTTTGAACGCCGGAAGACCACATCGTCTTCATCAACGTTGACCTTGTGCTTGGACTTCGAAATCTTTCCTGCCAACTTCGCGATTGTTCCTTTCACGAGAGGCTTTTCAGCTGGCTTCTTGCCTGCGCCACCCTTGGACCCTGGAGGAGCAACCCCTGCTGCTTTTGCTGACCCACGCTTCATTGTGGGCTGCACAAGCCATCCCTCAATATCCGGAATAGAGGACAAAGCTTCAGTCGATTCTGAAGAGAGAACAAAAAGCATTGTCCCATCACTGGCAATTGGCTGTACGCCTCAGGAAACTACAAAATGCATAATAAGAGGTTTGGTGCTTACAAAATGGTATACAACTAGAATCTCCTGGTGTACTGCATGGAAGTAATGCTCAATCATCCAGATTCTACAAAATGACTGCTCAAGACGTAGCTACTACAAAATGGATTTACGTTGATAAAAGCATAGCCTCAAGACTGTGATTTGCATTTTGTAGAAATCCTTACCCAATATATAATTTATTCAAAAACACAATAAGTTAAGAATAGTATAGAATAGTTAAGATACCCATCACATGCAAGTGGCTGAACACCTGCGAAAACTACAACATGCAACATCAGATGTTGTCTGTTTACAAAATGACGTACAACTAGGTGCCCTGGTGAACTGCATGGAAGCAATGTGCAATGATTGAGCTTCTACAAAATGACTGCTGAAGACGTAGCTGCTACAAAATGGGCTTAAACTAACAAAAGCATAGCCTGAAGACTGTAATGCGCCTTTTGTAGCAATCTATACCTGAAAGGCACATCAAAAAACATCAACACTCAACAAAGGCACTCTTCTCACAGCTGAGAATGGCCACCAACGATTCGACTCTAACCACCCAAGCTGTTGATGTGGCGCTGCATTTCCATCGGGCAGGGTCTTCCTCAGACAACATCTCCATCTCAGCGACCTTGAAAGCCGGACAGGATGCTATAGGAGTCTCCCCCAGATGGGGCTTCGGTTGCTTGATCCCTTTCCATACTGTAAGCACCATGCCCACCTCCACACCACAATTGTTCGGAGTGTGAAAGATCACAATGTTGCCAGGCCTCAATTTATATAACAACAACGTTGAAAAACATATTGTGACATCATTGAACATATTAAAGCCAGGTCAAAACTCAAACCGGCTTTTAAAATATATTAAAGTCAGAATGCCAAGACAACTGCAAAGCAAAACTTTGCAAATGTGTGTGTGTACAAAATGTGTATAGTATGGAACGGTACTACAAACAGATTCAGAATAGGCACATCAGCCGCTCTGGTGCCGCAATGGGCAATTTGAGTTGTTCTTGAGCAGATCGCACGAGTTCCTTCCACTTGTCCAGCCGTCCACATCGAGCTCTGTACACTGGATCCTCCTTTTCGCTCCTCAACTGTGCCAGCATTCTCTCATTGTACCTTGGAAAGGCACTGGTCACATCTCCCTATTTCCTATCATTTTGTAGCAACTCAGGTTGATTGAGGTCATTGTGTAGGGATTGGAGTTGTCATTGGAGAAAATACAATGTGAATCAATGTGACAATATACATCAATGTGCTGGAAATCATAAAACGGATAAAAATGGAACAAAGCAATACAAAACATATGCACACTGCATACATATGCGAAAATAGTCAAGGGACTGATGCCAGTTAAGGCCCTTGCTGGCTCTGCGACAATTCCGCGGGTTGCGGACAAACGTGATGTCTGACCCGCCCTTGGCGGCTCGCAAACGGACACAAAGGCGCCAAATAGCATTGACCCGATCCCCCTTCAATGCCATGGCTTCTGCCAATGTCGAAGGAAGATGATCAAGCTCTTTCTGATACTGTGGACTGCGGCTTGATTCATCCCTGAATGGCTCCATTACACTCTCCTTGTCGATCAGGCGGCTCAGTTCATTCCTATCTGGAGCTTTGCGGAGATCTGATTCAAGGACGTCCACGAGCTGGATATCTGAAGTCCCCGCTTCTTCTCCTTCCTGCGCATTGATCTCCCGCAGGTCCTTGGATTCGCCTTGAAGTTGGGTGAGAAAGTCCATACATTCCATGCCTGCCTCTGGTGCTTTCTCCACGGGGACGTCGATCTCGTCCTCTTCCAAGGGAGCATTCTCGGGCTTGGTGAAATCCTCATTGTTCTCGCACAAACGACGGTAGGCTGCTTCTAGAGTGTCCACTTTCTCGCCGGTGCAAAAAGCCACCAGGGCCAAGCTCGATTCCAAAGCTCTCTGGCAGCAAAGCTGAAACCTGAATGGGCTACAAAATGACGTTCTAGAAATGCACGCTACAAAATGAAGTGACTGGCCATGACTGGCCCGCAAACCATCTCTACTACAAAATGCGTTGTTATTCAAACGTCGATTACAAAATGCCTGCTTCAATCAAACTGATACAGCTCACTCAAGAAATCCCCGGCTCAAGAATTGTTACTGTATGGATTGTTACTGTTGCTGGTATGGCAAGAAGCTCCAGGTCGCTGAGCTTCTTCTCCATAGGCAGTTTGGATTCCTTCTCCTGCTTCATCAGCTTGTTCATCTCTTGAGATAACTTCATGCTTTGCCTCGCGCTTGCTTGGAAATAGGACCTTGCGGTATGCTGTGCGTTGGACGCTTGGCTTCGGATCTGGCCAAAAAATTGTTCCACTCCTGAGATCGATCATCCACTTGACCCTACAAAGTGGATATAACAGAACTAGACCTACAAAAAGAATACGCATATGGTTATATTATAATGCATTATTATATCCATATACATACATACATATATACAGATGTATACAGTAATTACTGGTTTATTGTGTTCATTTGCATCCAATCTTTCCAGTAATCTTTCCAAGGCTCCTATTTCGGACAACCTTGATTGGCCTCTTGTCCAAGGCGAGAAGTCGGGGCTCTTGGTCAAGCACACCACAATGACGCTGAGCGCAACTCCTTGGAGGTTGTGGCACGTTTGGGGCGCCATGAATAACGATCCACGAGGTAGGGTTCTGGCGCTGCAAAGGGATTCAGCTGCCATGCGAAATAGGTCAATGCAAAGGAAGCCTGATAAAGCGACCTCGCAACGTTGTGCAAGCCGTAGGTCTTTGTGCGTGCATGGCGCAATACAAAGCGCCACCACGCAGTTGTGGACAGTCATTCCGTGCAGTGCCCATGGTATCTTCGTATTGGCCATGTGCGCGTCCTCATGGTCGAAGCAATCATCAGCCAGAAAGTTGAATGGACCCTTAATAAAAAAACAATGAAAGACAATAAACATCAATAAACAACATCCATAGAAATTCTATGAATTTCATTGAATTTCTACTAACTGTTGGCATTAAGCTTGAGCCAGGAAGCTGGATCCTCAACCAAGAAGAAAGGATTGTAGTATAGCGCGTTGAGCGCGTCGGACATAGGCTCTTGACGAGAGTAGGCTGCTGGCGGTAGGCCATGACCAGTAGCAAGGGTCAAGTCCGTCCAGTAACGTCCGTAGTGCACAACTCGCAAGCTCGAGTTGCATTGGCCGGCCGAGTTTTTGTGACTGTGGCCTGAGAGTGCCCGACTACAATTTGCAAAACAGAATCATTTGCGCTACAAAATACACTAGTATCAACCAGCATCCACTATCTGACTATGACTTACCAAAGTAATCACTGAACTACTGCTGATACAGATTAAGACCATTGGAATCCATTTGACACGCAAGGATTCTATTGGTACATATATATGGTACGGATTGTACATATTGAAACTATTGAGTGAACCATATAGAGAACCATTTTGTAGGAGGCGTGGCTTCCAGAGTGCTTTTTGTAGACTGTCTCATGTTGCTGCTAAGGCTGCTAAGGCACAGGGTCCTGGTAATCCCCAAACTGTCTCCTTCAAGTACAAAACCTGGTTGACAGGCAATCTTGGAAGGTTGTGCTTTGGCAACGGCAGCACCTCCAAGTCACGGAAGAATGGAATGTCCTGAATCCAAGAGGTCTCCACTGCATCGGTTTGCCCGTGAA